AGCAGCTGTCTGGCCTGTCACTGTGTGTGTGTGATGGGGGGTCATCTCACTATGTAGTCCTGGCCGTCCTGGAATTCATTAGGTAGACCAGGATGGCCTCAAACTCACAGAGGTTCACCTATCTCTGCCTCCCAAGTGCTGGGATCAAAGGCGTGTGTCACACCGTACCCAGCTTATAAGATTTTTTAAAAACATCTTTAACCGGGGCTGGAGAGATGGCTCAGTGGTTAAGAGCATTGCCTGCTCTTCCAAAGGTCTTGAGTTCAATTTCCGGCAACCACATGGTGGCTCACAGCCATCTGTAATGAGGTCTGGTGCCCTCTTCTGGTGTACAGGCATACACACAGACAGAATATTGTATACATAATAAATAAATAAATAAATAAATAAATAAATAAATAAATATTTAAAAAAAAAAACATCTTTAACCAAAAACCAAAATCAAAAAGAAAAACCAGTGGCTAATATGCCACGAGTTCATTAATAAAAACTTGATTTAAAATAAGTATTTTCAGAGTTACGTTTTAGTTTTCCACCAGTAGACACGAACTCACATTGTGTGGGTCCTCCATGGCTTGGGCTGTTCTCACACAGGCCCCCTGCCCGCTGCATCTCTGTGGGTCAGTCCTGTCCTGAACGTGATTTCCGGCTTGGCTGGCTGGCTGCTGCCCTGCAGCTGGGTGTCCAGCTTGTCTGACCCAGCCTGGGCTCCACCTCTCTTCTATGAGGTGGAGGTGGTGAGAGGAATGCCCCCGGGTGATGTTTATCACAGATGGAGAGGAGGCTGTGGCGCCCAAGTCTCCTGGGCTCCTCAACTCTTCATCCCTAAGACACCTCAAGCTTGGGTAGCAGTCTTTGCCCAGACGGCCGCTGGGCCAGTTGCCTTGTAGCCTTGGATGCCTCTTTTCTTGGGTTTCTACCTAATTAATGCTTCAGGGGATAATTTAAATTGTTAGAGATGGGAGTGCAGGAGAGGATGCTATCGGGGGAGAGGGCTGGGGATGATGAGTGGCGCCAGGTGACTTGGGCACAGCACTACCCACAGGTGCGGTGGTGGAGCGGGCACTAGGGGCACTGAGGTCTACTCCCTGGGTGCCTGCCATCTGTGGGAGTGCGAGGGAGGGTAGGAGATGACTTCAGACACTGATCTAGAATGTGGGGTACACTAGCACAGGTGGGTTAGGGCATGGCAGGGTGGGGCACTTCTGGGGACATCTGGCCTCGGGTGAAGGCTAAGGTTCTCTTTGTACTTAGGTGATGCAGCACTTTGTAGGGCCAGGCTGTCTGCTGAATTCCTTGTAAATGCATTAACCCCTTTTGCTGGAAAGCAGTTACCTATGTGGATGGGTGCCCGCTTACGTTGTCTGCATTACTATGTAGATTGACTCCACTTAACTTGTCTGCGGTTTTTATTGCTGTGATCATACACCATAACCAAGGCAACTTCTAAAAGAGGTTGTTTGGGGCTTGCAGTTTCAGAGGGTTAGGGAGCCTGGCAGCAGGCAGGCGGGCAGGCAGGCATGGTGCCGGAGCAGCAGCTGAGAGCTCACATCCTGATCTACCACCACAAGGCAGAGAGGTAACTTGTGCTTTTGAAACCTCAGAGCCCCCCCACCCCCGTGACACACCTCCTCATCCTTCCCAAACAGTTTCACCAACTGGGGACCAAGTGTTCAAATATATGAGCCTTTGGGGGCCATTCTCGTTCAAATCACCCCATGGGCGTTATAGGAAGTGTGGCTGAGTACAGAGAGCTGCCTCACCCCCTTTGAAACTGGTTACCAGCAAAGACTTGTTCTCTGCAAACTTTACAGAGCATGGCACTGGCATAGGGTGGGTGACCAGCAGAAGGGTCACATGGCATACAGGTGTGGCTCCTTCCTTCCTTCCTTCCTTCCTTCATTCCTTCCTTCCTTCCTTTCTTTTTTTTTTTTTTTTGGTTTTTCGAGACAGGGTTTCTCTGTACCTTTGGAGCCTGTCCTGGAACTAGCTCTTGTAGTCCAGGCTGGCCTCGAACTCACAGAGATCTGCCTGCCTCTGCCTCCGATTGCTGGGATTAAAGGCGTGTGCCACCACGGCTTGGCTTCTTCTTGCCTTTTCATTGGAATGTTTTCGCTTCTCTTACTTGAGGTGTACTGGCTTCTCCCTTAATATACAAGTGATTCCTCTGTCTTTAAAACCTCTCAGCACCAGAAAGGTGGCTCCATGGCTAAGAGTGCTTGCTGCTCTTGCAGAGGACCCAGGCTCTGTTCCCAGCTAACTCCAGTTCTGTGGGATTGGACACCCTCTTCTGGTTACCATGTATACCCCTCCCCCCACACAAATAATAAAAATATTTTTTTTTAATTTTTTATGATTCTTTATAACTGTAATCCCCTGCTTCTGGGCTGCAGTTCTCAACCTCAGATGTTTGCAGCGGCCTTGGTCTGTCTCCTCCATTGTTCAGACTCCTGTGCAGATTCCTTAAGGTCAGCTGTGCCTCGCGTGGGAGTGCTGTGCATCTCTGGAACATGCCTTTCATTTGACCCTTCTAATTACCCTTAAGACCTACACAGCTTGCTTCCTAATTAGCTTTTTAAAACCTGAGGCCAGGCCGTGTGGTGTGTGTGTGTGTGTGTGCGCGCGCGCATTGGCTGTGCAGGCTCCACAGCTGTTTGCACTTACAAAGACCGTTCTCTTGTGTCTCTGCCCACTTCCACTCCCATCCTTCCTCAGCAGTGGATCTGTGTGAACTTCTAACATCCCTAGGCGTCAGTGGCTCTGAGTAACCACCATAGCCTTTGTCAACCGCCCCTTGGAGCACTCCAGTAAAGTAGGGCACTGTGTAAGAATCCCCTTTGAATGGATTTTTTTCTACTATCGCTGACAGGGCCTCTCTATGTAGCCCTGGCTGTCCTGCATTGTCTTTATGTAGACCAGGTTTCTCTGAATCCGCAGAGATTCGCCTGCCTCTGCTTCCTGGGCACTGGGTTAAAAAGTGTGCGCCACCTCACTCTTGAATCTTGAATGCAAACAGTACACATATTTGTGAAAGCCTTGAGGATGAGACCGCCCAGAAGGGCAGCAGGAACTCTGCTGGAAAGCCCGGTACCCACTGGATGGAACTGGTCTTCTGTCCCTTCCACATGCTTGCCACCTGACTTTAAAAATGGGCCATGGCCGACTTTTCACCCATAGAGTCCTCTCGGCAGAGGTTTCGAATGTTTGTTCAGGTTTGGCAAGTTCAGGTGCTGGAGAACCACGAGGCCTGGGGGCCTGTGGCAGAAAGTCTTCTGGGGTACACTGTCAGGGTCTGCTCCTGAGCGACTTGTAGGGTGCACCTAAGAGACCCCCTGCTTCCCAGGGCTCCTGCAGAGTTGACACCTGTCCTGTTCTGGACCTGCTAGCCACGTCTCTTATGAGAAACAGAAAGGAGAGGCAGCACTCAGGGAAGCCATCTTGGGGGGCTGTTTTCCATGAGCACATTGAAGGAGGGGGATCCAGTCCTGGTGGTGGTGAGAGAGGTCATCTGGGTAAATGCTGGGATATTGCCGTGGTGGGTCAGACTTTGGGGCAGTTATCTGGCCCAGCCTACCACTTACCACTGTGAGGGACTCACGGGACTTTTCCAGAGCCCCACACTGATCCGCAGTGCCATCCCGAAAGCAGAGCCAGGGCTTGTGTCTGGTCTGTGGAGGCTGTGTCTCCTTAACGATAGTGCGCCAGCATGATGGATTGTTATGCATCCGTGAGGATTTGATTATCTAGATAATGTGGGTCCTTGGACATGTTTAACCACCCTGTAGCATCGAGAGCAACTGTAAACATGGTCAGAGGTGAGCACGTCAAAACCAAACGTGCACACCTTTAATCCCAGCACTCAGGAGGCAGAACCAAATGCACTTGTATTTAAGTGTTGGGGTTCTAGGTAGTGTGTGAATTTCATGTTGATAAGCACTGTTTTTGAATGAACCTTTCCTTTTGGATAATGATGTACATTTATTTAGTTTCTCCTATGGTCAACAATCAGCGTGTTTTCATGTGTTCCGGTTTTTTTGTTTTGTTTTCCTACTATTGAAGCAGAGTGTGGGAAAGCCCAGCGTGTGGTTTCTGTAGGAAGGCACTCACTAAGGAGTTTCCCAGAGCTAGGTGTGTGTGGACGTGCAGGCATGGTGGTGCACACCATGATCCTACAATCCCAGCACCTGGAGGCTGAGGCAGAAGGATTGCTGTGAGTTCCAGGCAAGCCTGAACTGTAGGATGAGAAGCTCTGTCTTAAAACCCCAAACAGGCCAGAGGGAGAGGGTCATTTAGAGTTGTTTTGTTACTCATTCCTGATTAGCCGCATCCGAAAGTGGTTGCTTTGTGCTTGGCTTGTTTGCAGCTGGGCTCGTCCTCTAGTTTAAAGATGTGGCTCCTGTCTAAGAGAAAGATCCAGGCTCTCACCTTAGGGCCGCTCCTCCCTTGGTTTGCTAGGCAAAGGGCTATGTAGCGAGAATGGCATCTAGGAGCAGCTGTCAGACGGCTGCTCTGTTTTTACACACAGAAAACACCTTTGCGAGCTGTCAGGCCTTGCCTCGCCTTAAAGTTATGCCCTGGTTCGGGTTTTCTACACAAGTCCTTGTCACAGCTGAGGCCTCGTGGCGACAGTCTGAGATGATCAGACTAACTGTCTCCTCCTGGTTCTAAGTGTTCGGGCTTTATCTTCTGTTCCGTGGTGTGTGCATTTTAGTGTTTCAAAGCTTAAATTGTCTGCAGGGGGGGGGGATGTTTTTCTTCTAGAATCCCATAGGATCTTTTATCTGCTTCTGGGGCCTTGAATGATCAGCACAGCCATTGGGGAGGATAGCTTTAACTTACCACATTTTCCTGCTGGCTTACTTTGTGACTCTGCTCAGATGGTGCCCATGCCAGGAGTGGTGGGGCTGGGGTGGAGCGGGGCGGAGGCGTATTCTCCTGCACGGCAAGTGACGCGGGAAAAACGCCTTGCACCTTCCTTTCCCCCTGTGGTCTCATTGCAGGAAGAGAGGGCGGTAAAAGACCGGAACCTTCTCCAGGTTCAAGACCGCGAGCAGCCCATTCAGTGGAAGGTCCAGTTTAACCTGGGCAACAGCAGCCACCCCAGCAACCAGTGCCGAAACTCTGTTCAAGGGAAGGAATTCCTCACGGACGAGCTGGGTAAGACCTCCCTTCCCTGCTCTCAAGGCCCTGCGACTCTGGATAGCCTTGCCTCACAACGCTTTGTCCTTCCCGCTCCTCTGTGTCTTCCATACCGTTCTCTCTGTCCCAGGCTCCCTGCAGCATCTGGGAAGCTTGGACTGAGGAGCCAAACTCCTAGCAGGTTCTCTTTGCTTGCCGCTCCAGCCTTGGCCTCAGGCCCAGGCACAGGGGTTCCTCATCTTGTTTCTTGTGTGTGTGTGTGCACACGCACACACCACGTGGTGTTTGTGGTGGCCACAGGCTAACCTGTAGGAGATGTTTTTCTCCTTTCGCCTTGTGGATCCCAGGGATTGAACACAGGCCGTCAGCCTGTTAGCAGCCTCCTTTACTGGCAGAGCCATCTTGCTGGCCTGTAAGTCTTCCTATCAGAAAATAGAAATTACACACAGGCCTGTTACTTTACCAAGAAGATGCAGTTAGCCGACAGCAAATGGGGAGGGGACAGGGGCCCAGCTTGGAGGTCAGGGCTTGTTTCTACAGACTCAGAAAACAGGAGATTGTAGTACAGATGGCAATTGGCCATTTTATTGTCCTGTAGCTACAAAAACAGTGTTTTCCTTCTAGTTAATTTAGATCGGACAGACTCATGGATTCCTTTAGTTAAAACATCCAATATTCAGCTTCTCAACCCCTAAAAATCCCACAGGGGCCACAGGTTTTATTTTGCCTTTACAAATATGGGAAACGTGGTTTTAATAGAACAAAACAAAAACAACTTACAGCTGTTGATGCTGTTTAGTAACGAGATGCCACCGTATCGCTAGGGTAACAGTGCCGTTAAACCAGATAGCTAATTAGAGTCAAAAACTTTTCAGAAGCTGGAAGTTAATTTTCCAGGCAAGATCAACACATTTGCTGGCCCTGGTCTCACAGGACTTGGTGGAAATATTATCTGCAGAGCTCATCGGCACCGCAGTGTGTGTGTGGACTGAAATATCACAATGCCCCGTATGGTTTGTGTAGGGTTTTTTTGTTTTTGTTCTTTCAACTAAAAATAAATTAGTTCTGGAGAGATGGGTTTGTGGTCAAGAGCGCTGAGTGCCTTTGCAAGAGGGCCTGCCAGGGTTTGAGTCTCAGCATCCACGCAAGGCAGCTCACTAACTGCCTGTGACTCCAACTCCCAGGAATCCAGCGCCCTCTTCTGGCCTCGGTGGGAATCTGCACTCACACATGTGCACACACATAATATTTAAAACTAAAAATTACATGGGGAGAGGTGTGGGTAAGCCTGCTCTCCTCAGAAGTTAGACCTGGTCACTGGGAGGTGAGCACCGGAGTTGAGTGCTGGGAGTTGGCAATGGGAAGAAAAGGGCCTGTAGCTTAGAGAAGGAAAGGGCAGGCGGTGTCAACAGGTTGCTCTTGGGGTCCACGGTATTGTCCATCTCCATAATACAGAGCTGCTGTATTGTTATCATCTTGGGTGGAATCTCCCTGGGAATTCCGTTCAGAACCCTTGTCAACAGCATGAGCGGGGACAGCTGGGGAGGTAGCATCTCCTAGCACTTATCTCTTTGCTCAGGAGACACCATAGCAGAAACAAAACAGAGCCGCCCGCTCCCAGGTGGTGGGAGTTGTTCGCTCCTGGTCTCCCCAGTGTGGCGTGAGGGCCCCCTAGTGTCCCCTCGGTGTCAGTGTTCTGCTACTCTGCCCTCTCCTGCACAGACCTTGTTTTCCAGAGCAGTTCTGAAAACAAGTTCTCCTCCACCAGCCTCATTCTCTGGAGACAGAGCTGGGGCACTCAGATGGGCTGATGCTGGGGACAGCTGCTGCGTACGCATACCTGAGGGGCCCTGCACAGACCTGAGGACCACACGCATACCTGAGGGGCCCTGCACACACCTGAGGACCACACGCATACCTGAGGGGCCCTGCACACACCCGAGGACCACACACACATACCTGAAGGGCCCTGCACACACCTGAGGGCCACACATGCATACCTGAGGGCCCACACAAATACATGAGGGCCCTACACACACACCAGAGGGTCCCTTCCCACACCTGAAGACCCACACATATACACAAATACTTGAGGGGCCCTGCACACACCTGAGGGCCAGCATGCATACCTGAGGGGCTCTGCACACACCTGAGGGCCACACACACATATCTAAGGGGCTCTGCACACACCCGAGGGCCACACACGCATACCTGAGGGGCCCTGCACACACCCAAGGGCCACACACACATACCTGAGGGGCTCTGCACACACCCGAGGGCCACACACACATACCTGAGGGGCCCTGCACACACCCAAGGGCCACACACACATACCTGAGGGCTCACATGAATATAGGAGGGCCCTACATACACACCAGAGGGCCCCTTCCCACACCTGAAGACCCACACACATACCTGAGGGGCCCTGCACATACCTGAGGGCCCCCACATACACACCAGAAAGTTCCTGCACACACCTGAGGGCCAACATGCATACCTTAAGGACCCTACCACCAGAAACACACACCAGAGGGCTCCTGAACACACCTGAAGGACTACACACATACCCAAGAATCCCTGTACAGACCTGAGGGCCCACATGCATACCTAAGAGCCCCTGCATAGACCTCGGGGCTAACATAACATACCTGAGGGCCCCTGCATACACTTGAAAGTCCACATGCATGCCTGAAGGCCCCTGCATACACCTGAGGCCCCCACACTACACACCAGAGGGCCCACAAACATACCTGTTCCCAAAGGGTACAAGGAGTTGTCTGCCTAGATGCTCTGAATAGTGAAGCGGCCCCAGAGCCGAGGCCTGGCTGACACTGGACGTGCTTATCTGTGTGATGGGTTTTCTCAGCTGAGGAGTGAATTGGGTTTTTCTCTCCCTCAAGGGTTTATAGAGCATCACCCCCAGTTCTCGGGGGGTGGCTGTGTCCCTCCCCCACCATGTTTGTGTACACTGGAAGCAGAGTTATGAAGGTGAACTGTGACTTCCTGTTTTAACAGTCCCTTCAAGTGACCACAGCAGCAAGCATGGAGAAGCCATCAAAAGCTATGTGCTTGCTTTTTAAATCCGCAAAGTACTCGTTTTTTATGAATGGGTGCCTTGTTTCTGTTTTAGACTTTTTATTTATATATTTTGTGTATATGAGTGCTCTATCTGCATGTACACCTTCATGCCAGAAGAGGGCATCAGATCCCACTAGAGATGGTTGTGAGCCACCATATGGTTGCTGGAAATCGAACTCAGACCTCTTGGAAGAGTACTCAGTGCTCTTAACCGCTGGGCCATCTTCTCCAGCCCTATCTTAGTCTCTTTGAAAGAGGCCGAGGTGAAAGATTGCTTTCTTATGTTAGCACCCAGCCGCGTGGGCGTGGCGTGGTGTCCAGCCGCGTGGGCGTGGCGTGGTGCGGTGATGAGCTCACACTTATGCAGTAGACTGGAAACTGGTTGAACACAGTGACAGTGTGGATCTAGTTAGTGGTGACCGAGGAGCCTGACTGCCTAGGTGAAACCAGCCCTGGTGCTAAACTGCGTCCCTGGCTTTCAGGCTATGTCTGCGAGAGGAAGAACCTGCTGGCGAATGGCTGCTGCGATGTCAAGGTCCCCAGCACGAAGCAGTACTGCTGTGAAGGGTGCCTGGTCAGTGGTTGCTGTGAAGTCTACGAGTACTGTGTCTCCTGCTGTCTGCAGCCCAGCAAGGTAGGGACTCCAGGTTCCCGCCGCTTTGTCTTCCGGGCATCTTCTGGGGTGCTCAAGAGGAGCTTTATAGGTACACTGGCCTCTCCTGAGAGCGGAGCTGGTCCCTGGCTTATGGTTCCTTCGCAGAGAGGACCATGCTATTGCTAACCAGGGATCTGGTGAATAAGAGAATCCCTCCGGGTAGGCTGGTTTGGCCTGCCGTTACTACCAGTACTGAATACCTTGTTTCCATAGCAACCTCTGCTGGAACGCTTCCTCAACCGGGCAGCTGTGGCCTTCCAGAACCTCTTCACAGCAGTTGAAGACCACTTCGAACTGTGCTTGGCTAAGTGCAGGACTTCATCGCAGGTCAGACGTGGTGCTGGCTCTCGCTGGGGGAGGTGGGAGGGAGGCAGAGCTGAAGAACAAAGCCAGGGTGGAAAGGGTCTTCATTGGTACCATGTTCTGCTGCTTTGGGGGGGGTGCAGGATGAGACATTTAGGTGCAGTAGGTGGTCATTGAGAGGAGGTAGTCACTTGTCCTGAGGCAGATCTGTGGCTTCCTTCAGGATCCCAGGGGTAGGAGGTGGGAATTTAAAGGCCCATGGATCATATCTGAGGCCTGTAAGGCTCTTGGTGAGCATGCACTCAACTGCCTAACCCTGAGCGCTCTGCTCACTTGCCATGCCCTGCCACCCGTGAGGTGCCCTGGAAGGCTTCTGCCCCCAGCTTTGTTTATTTCCCCTCTTACGTTTATTCTGGCCTTGGGGAGGCACATGCATACACGCCGGGACAGCTTTTGTATGTCAGTTCTCTCCATACACCATGTGGGTTTTGAGGCCCGAACTCGGGTCATCAGCCTTGGCAGCGAGCACCTTTCCATGCGGTGCCATCTTGCTGGCCCAAGTTCCCGGCCTCTGTGGCTGGGCACTTGTCATAGCTCTTTGTAAGGTGTCTCTTCCACAAGTACACTCCGCTGGGCTAGCCTGCTCGCGCCTGTCTCTGGCCCTCTGTAAGCTTTGGGTTTGTGTGGCAACTCCCTTTTGCACCTCTAGTTCACTGTGAGAATGTCTGGGCCAGAATAGAAGGAACTCTGAGATGTAAAATTCCACTGGTCTTGACGGGGGGCCGGGCTCCCAGGTCAGTGGGTGTGAGGGAAGTGTGAGAGGGGCTCAGCCGACTCGCTCGTTCCTCCTGGCTAGTGCTGGAAAAAGGGGCTGATGTTATTATAGCAGCTTCCTGTAGCCAACAAAGCGGAAGGCACTTCCTATTGTGCGAGGAGAGACCGTTCTCAATGGCCACTTGGTTCGCGTGCCCAGAGACTGGGCTTCCAGTCTGCTAAGTGCAATTAGTAAAGTGCATAGCTTTGGTAGAGGCTGATTAGTGAGCTCTAGAGCAGCCAAACCTCAAATGGCTCAGAGGACAAGAAAAGTTTGGGAAATCTGTCTTCGGGCGGTGTGGGGGGATTGTCTGGGCTCGACTTCACTCTCTGTGCCCAGCCAGAGAGGCTCTTGGAGGGTGCTTGGCTTGTACACAGGCCCTTAGTGCATGACGGCCATTTGAAGTGGCGTCTCTCAAGTCCCTTGCAGGCCTCCTCAACAGGGACTGGATCTCTCTGCCCACAGTCAGGTGCCGATCCCACTGCATCTCCATCTGTTTTGGATCGTTTTGTTCTTTGCATACTTACTGTTGTGTGTGTGTGTGTGTGTGTGTGTGTGTGTGTGTATGCGTGTGTGTGGCTGTGCCACCACAAGTACGTGGAGGTCAGAGGACAGCCTGTAGAGTTTGCTTCTCATTTTTACGTGTGGGTCCCGGGGATCAAACTGAGGTCTTCTCAGGCTTGGAGGCAAGCGTGCTGTGTTAACCCCTGAACCGTCTCACCTTGTCCTTGTTTTGGGGTTTGAGACATGTAGCTAGGCTGGCCTCAAGTTCACTGTACTGCTGAGAATGACCTTGAGTTTCTATTCCTCCTGGCTCCTGTGATGGCATCACGAATGTGCACCACACCACCCATTTTTTTTTTTAAAAAAAATATTTATTTATTTATTTATTATGTATACAATATTCTGTCTGTGTGTATACCTGCAGGCTAGAAGAGGGCACCAGACCCCATTACAGATGGTTGTGAGCCACTATGTGGTTGCTGGGAATTGAACTCAGGACCTTTGGAAGAGCAGGCAATGCTCTTAACCACTGAGCCATCTCTCCAGCCCCTGCACCACCCATGCTGGGATCAATCCCAGGGCTTTATGCATATTAAGCAAGCACTCTGCCAGGCTGCGCCATACCCTAGACCCCATTTCAGATGGATTGAGAAGCAGTCTCAAAAGCCCAGCTTGCAGCCAGGTTGTTCAAAAACTCCCTGGTAGACAGAAGAAGAAAAGACACAGTAGCAGCGTCTTGTCTGTTTTTGTGGCCCTCAGCGCTAAGAATCCTCCTTCATTCCAGAAAGTTCCTCAAAACCCCAAGGCACGCTGGTTTTGAGGTGGAGTGGGCGGGGAGTATGTGGCGGTCACTGCAGCTGACCCTCTCTGTCCTTCTCCCGTCTTCCTTCGCCAACAGAGTGTGCAACATGAGAACACGTACCGTGACCCCGTAGCCAAGTACTGCTATGGAGAGAGCCCACCTGTACTCTTCCCCGCATGAGGCCTGTTGGAGAGACACCCAGAACCAGCCTGGTCCACGTGAGACGATGAAGGAGGGAGCCAAGGAGGACCCTTGGCTTTGAGCATGTCCTGTGGCATCCAGTGTCTCTGTCTCCCTCACCTCCAGCTGCAGCAGACAGAGCTGTTCTGTAGAGCGGGCCCGGTGTGGCCCCGGCACCTTGCCTGGTTGTGGCCATGGGACAGCTGCAGGGCCAGGTGCTTGGTTCCGTGTTGTGGTTTCTTAGTGACTTCTCAGTGGGGGAAGTCACACTGTTTTGTGCAGGACACCTTTGCCCGTGCTGTTGGATCCACTCAAGGAGGTGACTGCTCTACGTGGTTCCTCACTGTCACAGTGACGTCGTTGCCGCACCAGACCCAAGTATGTCTCCAGGAGTGTGAGTGCACGGGCTTATTTTTGGTTGTTTTAACACCTGGCCAGCAGGCCTTGTATCTATATCCCAACATCTAGGGGTGTGTAGAGCCTCAGGGAGGTGCTGGTACCCACTGAGCCTGCGTAGAGCTGCCCTGGTATGCTCATATCCCTGCAATGGTGGTCGGAGGCCTGAATCCCCTGATGACTCTCCCAGTGGAATTTGCTGTCACTGTACCCCTGTTGAAACCCCTCAGCCTTGGGGCAGGGGAGCCTTTCCCTTGTCTGTCACAGAAGCCGATGGGGACCTGGTGAATGCGGTCTACGGCACTCGTTCGTTCATTCTTACCGCTCGCTCTCCGCTCCTGGCTGTGTGCCAGAGGAGAGCTTGTTAAGCTCCTACTCCAGCCTAAAGTTTCACATCTGCTCTCAGTGGGAGACATTTGCGGTAGCCATGCCGTAGAACATCCCAAATGCCAGCCGTTGTCCAGTACTTGCAGGGGTGGGCAGTTGTCACCGGTAACTGAAACTTGGGTTTCAAGCATGGGGCAAGACCCTTCCTTCTCGACTCTCCTGTCTTTTTCTCCAGTCTCCTATAACACACACGGCTCCTGGAGACCCTTCACTGACCCTTACAGAGGCCACAGCCAGCATTTGTGGTTTGGGCTCAGGTTGCCCTGGTGTCAGGCATGAGTCTCCAGGGTTTCTCTCAGCAGCTTCATAAAGCCGCGTCTCCCAACTGTTTGCCTTCCTGATGGAATTTCCTTCAGCTTCCTCCAGCTTCCTCTTCCTGCTCACCTCTGTGGATGAAAGGACAGGCTGATGAGAGTTGTTCTCGTTTGGGGTCACCATGCTGGGATCAGATCCAGGACTTTGTGTGTGACTGGCAAACTTTTTGCTACTGAGTCCTGGCCCTGGCCAGGGAATCGATTTTTACTGTTAGATCCCAGTCATTCTGTTCCATTTGCTCTGGACTTCTCAGTGTGTGGATTCAAAGTTCACGGAAGAACTCGGTGCACCTGCGCATTCTGGTGCATTCTGGAATGTCCTGGCATGTTCTCACATGTTCTGGCTTGCTTGCTCATTCTTTCTGGTAACTGGGAGATATATAATTTTTTTAAGACAGGGTCTCCCATTGCCCAGGCTGACATCCAGCTTCGTATGTGTTTGATACCAACCTTAAACTCCTGATGCCCTCTGCACCTGCCAAGTGCTGGGGTTATAGGTGCATGCCAGCTGCATGGCTCATCAGCCTTGTAATGCCAGTCTACCGTTGGTCAGTGTTGGTGTTGGTCAGTCACTCCCTTGGGTTCATTTTCACTCTCAGGAGTGGCGACACGGGGTTAATGTAAACATCATGCCCATTGCCAGCTCTCTCTGACCTGGCACTGGAAAGGCATGTGTGTGCAGTCTTTGAGTTTATAGACCCCGAACAGTTGAGATCAAGATTCCAGTTTACTTGTGTTTCACTCGACAGATGAGGAAATAGCTTACCCTCCCAAGTCCCTACCAGAATAGAATAATCAAAACCCACAGAAGAACTTCACCTCGAATCCAGCTCACATGTCCTCTGGTGCACCTCCACATCATCTCCCCTGAGAACAGACAGCTTCAGTTATTCCAGACAGGAGAAAGCGGCGTCTGCGTCCATGCCGAGTTGGTAATGCAGAGGTCACTTTTGATTGACTGTGGAATGTGGGTTTTGTGTTTTAATCACACTGGGGAACACACACACACACACACACACACACACACACACACACACACAGCTGGGGAAGTCTGGGGAGGGGGCTGAGTGAGAAGAGCCCCAGGTAGGAGTGGAATTGAGGAAGCCCGGAGGCCAGTGTTCACATTGGTATTACCTACTTCTCTGTGACTTTCCAGGCAGAACAAACAAAAACCCCAGGACGTTCCTCCCCTGTGAAAACACTGCCTGTGAGTCTGTTGTCTGCAGGCGCGTGTGATACCCGTTGAGGACATCTGGTCCCTTCCATGGGGGTGGCCCGCCCTTACTGAGCACGATTGTTAGCTCAGCTCCTGCAGCCACTTCTCCACAGGGGTTGGAGGTGTCTGTCTGTCCTTCCCTCTGTCCGTTTCGTAAGCTGTTTTCAGTGTTCCAGTTTGTATTTATGATTATTATTATTTTTAAGATCATGAGCCTGTGTGTACCAGCTCAGACTAAATAATGAGTTCTGGGTTGCAAAGAGGATTTTTTTTTAACTTAAGATGTTTAAGGGGCAGGTGAATTAGCCCAGTGGACCTGGGTTCGGTTGCCAGCGCCCACACAGGGGACTCACAGCTGATGGGATGGGGTGACCTCTTCTGTCACAGGTACCCTAATATGTGGCATGCGTTCGCACAGACACTACAAACATACAAAAGTAATGTAATAAAGATAAATCTTTAAAAAACTAAATCACATGTAATCATTGGGGGGTACACACGTGCCATGGTTTAGGTCGGAGGAAAAGTTTTGGAAGTTGGTACGTTTATCCACCATGTGGGCATGGAACTCAGGGTGTCCGTCTTGGTGGCCTTGGCCCACGGAGCCATCTTGCTGGTCCTGCCTGAGTCTGTGTCCATAAATTAAACGATAAAATACACAAGTGCTATTGATTGTGTTTATTAAGTCACAGTGAGCGGAACCCCACATGGTTTGAATGGCCATTTATTTTGTCTTTCTTCCCATTGGTTACTACAGAACATTTTGAAATGAAGCCTTAAGTAATTCTCCCTCTCCCTATCTGTCTCCTTTTTCCTCCTTTCCCCTCTCATTTTCCTTTGAGACCTGGTATCTCTGCCCCACACTAGCCTCACACTCTCCATCCTCCACCCTTAGCCTCTGGTATTTAAACCTCAGCTGAGCGTCTTGCTTAACTTGCCCTTCTGCAACACTTTCAAGCAATTAGCTCACGTTCACAAACCCATCTTTCTAATAGATCTCAGGCTGTAGGTTTGTGACGGGGGGCAGCCCTTCCCCCCACTCCTGACCCTCAGGAGACATTTGAAAGTGTCTAGTCTCCTCATAGCTGGAATGTACCAGCTATATAAGTGGGAAGGTACCATTTGTCCCTGGGGGGAGGGGGCTCAGTGATGCTACTCCCTCCCTGGCCCACAGCGCCTCAGACAGTCACACCATGTAGGCTGGCAGTGCTGAGCTAACTGAGCCCAGCTCTGGGTCACAGCTGTGCCCAAGGCGCTTCCCTACCCTGGAGTTCTACTGAGCTGAGTGCTGATTCAATTACCTGTGTTCCCCACAGGACATGCTCACAGCAGTGCGTTCCTGCCTCAAGGCACAGTGTGGTTACCCTGCACTGTGTCCTTAGCTCACTCTTCACCCAGCAGACCCTTGTCTGCAGAATGAACTGGAGGTTTGTGACCTGACGGTAGAACGGGGCTGGGGGTAGGACCAGGACTGACCCTGCAGATTCTGTTAGACATGGCATAGTGTGAGTGCAAGACAAGAATGATAACAAGCCAAAGGGGAGCTACCTAGGGCAGCTTTCTCTCCCTCTGTCACCAAGGTGTCACCTTCCAGGTTCTTCCTGGGCGTTTGTGACACGTTTCATCCTGGTGTGACTGCAGCTCTGGCTGCCAACGTCACTGGTTTCCCTCAGTCCGCAGCATTCCCCATCCAGATGTGAAGGTGATTTGGTCTGCCACTGTGCTGTGAGCAGGGTGGTTAGATCTGTGCCACCAACTCTGGACTCTCAGCTGAGCCTCAGCAGCCCTCCAAAGACGTACAACCTAGGGTTGTTCCCATCGAGAGTCCAGAACTAAGGAACAAAGACACAGCCTTAAATACTGCAAAGAAACAGATCCAGCAGCCTGTGGTGAGAGCATGGGGGCTGTAATCCCCTCACTGGGGAGGCTGAGGCAGGGGGATTGTGCATTCGAGCTCAGCCTGGGTTTTACAAGATGAGACCCTGGCACCAAATACATAAGCAACCACAGAATTGAGCTGCCAGTAAAAAGAGGAGAAGCAGTTGTTCAGATGTCTCCATGTGCATGTCTATTGAATCTATCAGGACCCTGCATCCCGTGGGTGAGAGGGATCAAACAGCAGAACTAGAAACAGGTTGTTTTGTGTGGTGTGGAATGTAAGCCTGCAGTTGGAAAACACACAGATAGCCTGCAGTGCAGGCACGTGTGGTGTGGGCTGAATGGGAAAGAAGTCTGTGTTACAGACAACGAGTTCTAGTCCACTGGCCATGCCTGTTCCAAGAAGATGTGCGTGCGTGTGTGTGTGTGTGTGTGTGTGTGTGTGTGTGTGTGTGCATGCGTGTACATGAGCATCACGAATGCGTTTGTCCTGTCCCGTGTGGACAGATCTATTGGGTTGTAGGTGTTGAGCCAGGTATGGTGGCACATGGTTTAATTGCCAGTACTCAGGAGGCTGGGGGAGGAGAAATCCAAGTTCAAGGATAGCTTGGCCTTCATAGTGACGCTTGTCTGAAACACACACAAAATCGTTTTTAAAGTTTAATAAAATACTTCCTTGATCAGATGTTGGCAATTGGGATAAATGTGATAATCTATGTGTTGCTCTAGGCATGTCACATGTATTGGGCACGTGTGTCTGTGTATATGTATGTGTGTGTGCATGTGTTTGTGCACGGGGTGTGAGTAGAGGTGGCCTGAAGTCTGAACAGCACCCTGACCCACTTCACAGGAGCCCAGGCATCTGCGAACTTGGGTAAACTCATTGTCATTGTCTGCTTGGAGTGATTGCCAACACATATACTGATCCTAGATCCCGACTCTGACTACCCAGAAACCAAACATGACCAGAGCCGTGTCTCTTCATTGCCCTCTGTGGACTGCGATTCCCACAGGGTAGGTGGACACCAGCCATCCAGACCCCAGTGGTCCTCAAAACAATCCCTCCTCAAGGAATCCTGAAGACAGACCAAACCTGGCCAAACATTTTCTCCGTCGTCCTTCTCTGGTTTTCCTGGGCACCATCTGCTTGTCACCTGTGCTGTCCATGCATCTGTGGAGACAGCTGCCTTTTGGCTGGGATGCCCAGGGCTATGTGCATGCAGATTCCCTTCGTGCAGCCCAGAGATGCTCAGAGGCCTTGAGATGGCCAGAGCACGTCATGTTTCCTGAGCAGCGACTTCACTGGGTATCAGCACAAGGCTGTCTCTTACAAGGTAGAAACAAGCCTTCAAAATTACATTGAGCCAGAGTAGGTTCCTGGTTCCCAGAGGACAGCCACAGCTGCAGTGGGAAGTTTGCCACATCGTGTGTCTAAATGTATGTTTTATATTTGTGCATAGATAGGAATGGACTCCCACTGCCTGCTCTTTTACAGTGCTGTGTTCTGGCAGGTTGACTTTATCCAGGTAGTCAACTCCTCCCACGCAGAAGGTCCAACCTGGAGAAGTGAAACCCATGAGAGGCTACAACCCTTTATAATGGCCTCCTGCCCGTTCTTCACCCTTTCTCCTTGTCTGAATTTACCCAATGGGGAGAGAAGTCTGTCTTTCACAGGCAGATTCCAGGCATTTCCCAGGGCCAGAGCTGAGCTGCATCCAGCATCTTCGGGGACTGGCTGCAGTGTCCTGGGAGGGCTGGGTAAGAAGTCAAGAGCACACCAGATCACTTGAGCGTGTTGTTGGTTCTGGAAAAATCACTAAAAGCAGGCATCAAAAATAAAAAGTGGAAGCCGGGCGTTGGTGGCGCACACCTTTAATCCCAGCACTCGGGAGGCAGAGGCAGGTGGATCTTTGTGAGTTCGAGGCCAGCCTGGTCTACAAGAGCTAGTTCCAGGACAGGCTCCAAAGCTACAGAGAAACCCTATCTCGAAGAACTAAAAATAATAATAATAATAAAAGAATAAAAATAAAAAGTGGGGCTAGTGAGATAGCTAAGCATTAAAAGGACTTGTTGCTCCTCCAGAGGACAGTGGTTGCTCCCCATCTGTAACTCCACTGGGACCCAGCTCCCTCTTCTGGCCTGTGTGCACCTTGTATGGTTGTGGTGCATCTACATACATGTAGGCAAAACACCATACAAATAAAAGTAATTCTTTAAAAAATTAAAAATAAGATTTAAAAACGCCCAGGGAAGGCTCTGTGGACCATCGTCTTCCTGAAAAAGCCGATCCGTGTTCAGGACAGCCCATATCCTACCCCAGCAGCAAAAGCCTCATCCACAGGGTAGTTTTTTTTTTTTAAAGGGTCAAGGCCTCAGTGTGTTCCTTAGGATGCTTAGAGATGTGCTGTCTCCCCTCCCACACGCTAAACACAAATGTTCCTACTGGGTGTGGATCTGGACAGCTCTCCAGGTTCCTTGGGCTCTGTCCATGACATCCAAATCTGCCCGGGCTTTTGCCTGCCGTCTGTGCTTAGCACTGACCCAAGACAAATAGTCTCGAGGCGGCTCTCCACTTGTCTCTGCTGATTTATTTGACGTAAATAAGCTCGCTGACCTGATTTAGCATCGTGGGGGACCACAGAGTGAATCAGGCTGCAGCCAGCGCAGCTCAGTGCTGGTGGCAAGCATGCTGACAGTTGCTGACTGCGCCACTTGGGGGCACCAGCTGCATGAGTTTTTCCATCCCTAGTGTGAACCCGTTGTTGACTGTGGCCCAGGCTTGCCCAAGATCCCCCTGGAAACAATGACTGTGGGCAGAGAGCCAGCTGATGGGCAGCAGATCAGAACTCCTTCTTGGGCCTGGCATTTTGGGGACCAGGACCCTCAGGGACGTGAGAGCAGATCTGCAGCTGACACTGTGTTACTGTGCCCTGCCACCCCCTTCTCAGCCTCTGCCCGACCCCAGGACAAAATGTAGGTGAATCTTCTTGGTCGTATTTGGGTGGCAGCGAACAGGATTGCGAGGGGACCATTCACACCACCCGTCCTTTGCGTCCTCATAGGTAGAGGAGAATTCCTGTGCTCTGATTCTGGTTCTTCTTGGCTCAAGGTCATGCACGCCATCTGCCTTATGGAAATTCCAGACCAGGCGTCTCTGGGGGGCACATCGTGAGCATTCCCCTGTGACATAGTGCTCAAAAGGCTGCGTATGCGCTCACCTGACAGCCAACCCTCTGAGCCAGGCAGGGGCCTTCGCATCTCTGTCTTATTGGACACAAATGCAGAGGGGTTTAGAGCTGTTTCCTGGCTTCAGCCAAGACGATACCCTCTGCTGTGAAGAGAACTTCCTGTCCTTGCTGCAGGGGCAGTAGGGATTCTCCGTGGAGCCCAGGAGGGTAGCAGGTTAAGTATTTGTCCTGAAATTTGTTCTTTGGCCCTGGGGTCAAATCTATTATTTAAGCAAAAGTTTCCACATTAAAAAAAAGACTTGTTTATATTATTTTTAATGTTGTGTATGTGGGTTATGGTTTTCATGAGTGCAGGTACCCGTGGAGGCCGCAGGCATTGGAGCCCCTGGAGCTGGAGTTCCAGGCAGGTGGAAACCACCTGAAGTAGTGCCAGAAATCAAACTTGGGTCCTATAAAGAGCAGTACAGGCTCGAAACCACTGACCCACCTCTCCAGGCTCCTCTTCTGTCTTCTGTCCGCTGGTTGCTGCCAGGAAGGAACTTGGGAGAATGGACTAGAAGGGTAACTTAGCATTTTAGGGTAGC